GTGTCATTCCTTTTAATCATTCACATTTAGCAATAAAATAAAGCTACATTTTCCAAACAAAAGTGCAATGATAAAATAAGATAAACCAGTTGAATAGCCTTTATAAATTAGAAAATTTTAGTTGAGAAAAAGAAGTGCACGCAAAGGATTTCACAAAAATATATTGAAATGTTATTTTTTTTTTACAAAAGTGCCATTTTGGCACTTTGTGCCAAATTAAAAAATTAAGTGCCATTTGAAGTAAAATAGGGACAAATGGCGGCGTAGCGTGACGTGGTGCGCGCCGGTCGCGCGGGGTACGCGGGGCGCGAGAGCGACGCCCGCGGTTTGGCGCGCTGACGCGGGCCGCCGCGAAGCTAAGCAAATTTAATGTTTGAAAGAGAAATAATGTCAATGGATTTCATTTCGTTATTAAAAAAAAATGTCAATTGACTATTTCGCACCAGGGTGGGAAATAAAGTCAATTGACCTTATTTCCGTTGATCTTATTACAATCACCTCATCTCTCATGGCTCTCATGGCCTCATGTATATTCCCACGCTTTCCCATAAGGAAATTTCATACAGGAAACTAGGAATAGTATNCAGGGTGGGAAATAAAGTCAATTGACCTTATTTCCGTTGATCTTATTACAATCACCTCATCTCTCATGGCTCTCATGGCCTCATGTATATTCCCACGCTTTCCCATAAGGAAATTACATACAGGAAACTAGGAATANGGCTCTCATGGCCTCATGTATATTCCCACGCTTTCCCATAAGGAAATTTCATACAGGAAACTAGGAATAGTATTAAACCACGATTGAGAGAATACAAAGGTTGCGCCGATCTCGGACCGCTATTCCTTTCTTAACGAATTTGACAGAATCGCTGTTTGCATGACGTCACACTGGTGCAACTTGTTTACGTTGTATTCTATCATTCTTGGTATTAAACTGCTAATAGTTTGACACAAAAGACGTTTCTTTCTTGGAACCGATACCTAGAGTACTACACGTTTTTTTTTGCTATAGTAATCAGGCCGCCCGCAATATCAGTGTGGATGAATTCCAAAATATCAAAATACAAAGCATCAGTCTCTTTTATTTCTGAACCGCACTAGAAGATAAAGTCTAACTTGCGTAAGTAACTTAGTTGAAAACTAGCATCTAAGAAGATTAAGAAATAAAAAAGACTGATGCTTTGTATTTTGACGTTTCGGAATGTACCCGATATCGGATTTGATTTACAGTACCGCCTATTCCTTAAAGTAAATATGAATTTCTTATATTTTTTGTGGCGTATAAATTCGATCATGTTTTCTGAAATACCGTTTTGCACAGCCAAAATTCAAGTCACAGGCAAAAAACGAATGACCTCTTATTGGAAAATAATTATAGTTTTTGTTGAATCTCTCGGTAGCCTATAATACTAAGAGGAAACGCTGCTTGCTTGGTGGTTTCTCTTATATGTATATTTATATAGTGGCACCAAATATAGCGGCACTTATTAGTTATTGAGATCAAAAACCGTGCAAGTCACTGACATGTACAGGTTTTCTCCTGATTCTTCATTTCTCACGGGTGCACACAGCTCTGGTGTATTAACGGTTAAATATCTAGTACAGGTTTTAAAATCAGTCGATGAACGTAAAAATTTTAAACAAAATGGCTATCTTACTTTAAAATGTCAACTTTTTGACTTGTACGGTTGTCGAACTCGCCGATTCAATTACAGTAATTGTAATAAAATGAAAATGCTCTTAGTTCAAATTCGAACCTACTAATATATGTATTAAACTGTTTCATGTGAGAAACACATTTTTTTCCAATAATAGTAGTTACTTCGATTTGTGCTACACGATTATATTAACATGGGATTTTTCGATACATAGAAATGCAATACTGTCGTTCTTACTTGGGATTCGCTGGAAAGTTTCCCTTTTTGCAAAAAAAAAAACAATTTTTTTTTTGAAAAATTTGTATAAAAGAATTCTACGCCGTCAATTCTTTGATAGGAAATACATCGCTAGCTAAACGTGATAAGGTGCAGCATTTCATTTTTGAAAGTTGTTCAGGAGAGACGAAAAATCGATGCATCTGTAATTCCGAATCAAAAAATATTTTTTGAAAAAAAGGTGGACTTGGCACCTTTTCAGCTTTAAGCAGCGACAAACTTTATTTTAAATTTGTATTGCTTTAAATGTGTACACAAGGTTTTTATTATGATTTTAATCTGAGATGTTTTTATATAACAAAAGATAAAGATTAAGAGATTAAAGAGATTATATAACAAAAAGATAAATGTTCATGTTTTTAAAAATATGACTTACCTTTTGAGTGATGTATTCTTTTTAGGGTAGAAAAGAATATTACTTAAACTCATTGTATTTGTAAATTTATACCGAAAGAAAAGTGTAACATTTGCGGTGATGCTAACGAAGTGTTTGATATAACTGCCACTAGCCTCAGAAACATCATTGCTTTGAGCATTAGGCTTTGTGTTTTTTTTTAAAACTTCATTTTTTAGCACAAAGTAACAGAATATATGGAGCATATATCTATTAATTTTATGAAAGTGGATTTTAGTTTGATGTGATTTTAAATCGGCAGGTAAACGCATCTCCTAAAATTAATTATTAAACAAGTAATAAAAATAAATACATATTCCATTATAATACCTTTCTCATTATACGAGCAATGATTCCGGTCACCACAGAAAGTTCCTGCATAATACCTATATCTCTTTGGGTTGCTCCGCTTCTTAATATAAACTCAATGATTTCAAAATGAGAAAACAAAAAATTTTCTATTTGAGACATCGCCGATTGGTTATCTGAACCAAGAGTTTTTATAACCGTATTACATAATTGTAAAGCTGGAAATAATATTTGACGAAAGCGATTATTCACTGCAGGTAAAAATTCATTTGTGACATTTTGGGTGCGAGAACATCCTTGAAAATCTGGATGCATATCATAAACTTTCATTTGTGACAGAATAGTTAATAGATTAGCAGAAAGCAGCATTTCTGCACCGATGTAAGAATCGGCAAATCGAAGTAGAAGTGCTATATGCGATTCATAGACATAAAGTGCTCTTATATTCTTAACAGAATCACTCAGTACAAGACATAAATCTTGATCTGATTGCTCCAGGTTTTCGATTACTTTTGCTAAATAACCCCGGTTTGCAAACAATTGCATGACACTAGGAATAGTATTAAACTCCAATGCTGAATTAAAACACGACATTGTTAGCATTTTGCATATGTCATGACCAATAACACAATCGCGACACATTATATCAATTAATTGGTCTCCAAAAGAAGAAAATAGTTCTGCAGGAATTTGTACGCTGGCTGTGTTTATAGAAGATGGGGATTGCTTATCCAAACGAGACACAAATCTGAAAGAAAGAAGTTTGGATTTTATGTCATTAAATGTGTTTGGTTTAAAATTTGACGCAATGCCTATAGATACATATAACAGTGCTACAAAAAAGAATAAGTGAATGGAAATGCCTGGGAAGTGATGCTAATTTTCTTGTAGGTATTGTCGAATAAGACAAGAAGCGAAATACCAAATTGGCCAAACGTCCCCAAAATCGTAACTAGTAGCGTTTCTTTTCTCGAAATAATGTTGCACTTATTCTGCCCTGCGCCAGGGCTGTCAAGTTTTCGTGTTCTTTTCTCAGCATCTTCACATGTTTATTGCGTGCTCTTTCTTTAAATTGTTGCACTCTGATAATGTTGCCAAATACGAAGGTGACATTTTTTTCGAGAAAAGAAAACTTCATAAGGAACTCCGTAAATTACGCGCCTAATCATAGCAGAGTCGAATGCATGACGGCTTGACTTCTGCACACTCATGATACAAATATTCGCTCAATTCGTCGGCCATCATTTATTTTTTGAAGTTTGTCTACTTTCGGAAATTGTCATTTTCAGAGCAACTCAAATGCCAAATAAAAGTAAAAACAAAAAAAAAATTTGAGAATATTTAAATTTTCTTTTATTTGAGACTGAAAGTGAGAATTTATTTGTGAGATTGAAAATTTGAAAAATTTTTGTTATGTTAGCAAACTTCAAAAATGTTCAGGCTGCCTCTCAGCGGTTTTTCCTTCAAATTTTTTTATCGTGCTGCACACTTGCGCGCCCAACATAAATAAATATGTCTTCAGTTTAATAAACATATTCTTCCCATAACGCATTTTCTGAACATTCTTTCTCAACTACTTATGGTTCAATACGGTGACAGCTAATAAGGTCAATTGACATATTTTCAAAAGCGAAATAAAGTCAACAAAAATTGAGAAATAAAGTCATTGACGCTATTTCCTCATTCAAATGGAAATAGCGTCAACAATGCTTAAAGTATGTCGATTCATAGAAAAAAATGTTGTTCTTACAATAAACATTGCCCCGTAAGTGTTGTTTTTTAATAGATGAAAAAGGTTATTGCCAAATCCTCAGTGTTGTGATATTAATCCACACACAATCATGAACTACCACCAATTGATTTTATTAAAAAAATTTAAATTACGAATATGTAAAAACGCACATCTGGAATACGAGAAATATTTGAAGAAAGAGTGTAGAAATGATCCATAACTTGCAAAACATTTTTCGTTTCCACAAAAATAAAGCGAACACTATTAAATTGAAGAAACAGTCCATGTCCAAAAACCCCGGAGGAACCCTGAAAGAATTCTGTGTTTTAAATTAGCATATTTTGAACGAATTCGGAACGTCTAAGGTGGAAAAGAAACTAACCTTTCTATAAGGAAACAATTTCTCCGCCAGCAATTTGTGACGACATCATTTAAAAGCAGCTAAGGAGAATGACGACGCTATTTATTAGATGGCACATTCAACGAGCCAATGTGCCAAAATGCGGGTATAAACCATTATTGATTATTTAATATCGGAACCGAGATCATATAAGTTAATTAATTGGTTTTCACACACTTTTGAAACACAAATTATATGCTATTTTACTGCAGACAAGTTGTTGCCCCAAAACAGAGCAGAAATCTTCCAATCAGGGCTGCCAATTATCCTTAGTTATGAGGTGCCATATTGAGGATAAAAAAGCGCCAAAATGTGCCAAATAGAAAAATAAAAGTGCCAAAAAAGTACCATTCCTTTTAATCATTCACATTTAGCAATAAAATAAAGTTACATTTTCCAAATAAAAGTGCAATGATAAAATAAGATATACCAGTTGAATAGCCTTTATAAATAAGAAAATTTTAGTTGAGAAAAAGAAGTGCACGCAAAGGATTTCACAAAAATGTATTGAAATGTAATTTTTTTTACAAAAGTTCCATTTTGGCACTTTGTGCCAAATTGATAAATTAAGTGCCATTTGAAGTAAAATAGGGACAAATGGCACGGTTTGAGCCAAGTTGGTATCCCTGCTTCTAATAACTTACAAATATAAAAATGTGAAATATCGAGGGCTTGAATTCATTAATACCCTCTATCTGCAATTTGCACAAAAACTAATTTGTGATTTTAAAAACCATCTGGGACTTATTACCTGTCGTTTTATATGGGTATTCTTAATATCACTGATGACAGTTAAAGCTTAGGTGGATTTTTATATCAGAATCTCATCTTTGTGAAAAGTGTGCAGATAGAGGGTATTATTGAATATAAGCCCTCGATGTTTAAAATATATACAAATTTTATTTCAACGTATACAAAAAATAAATCTACCTGTGTTACAGCACGGCGGGAGACGGGGAAGGGGGGCCGCGGCGTAGCGTGACGTGGTGTGCGCGCCGGTCGCGCGGGGTACGCGGGCCGCGAGCGCAAGTGTGCAGCACGATACAAAAATTTGAAGGAAAAACCGCTGAGACGCAGCCTGAACATTTTGAAGTTCGCACCAGGGTGGGAAATAAAGTCAATTGACCTTATTTCCGTTGATCTTATTACCTGTCACCTTCAATACAATTTGCCTGAATGAAATCATTAATTTTGGATTACATATGTACATGTGTATGTATGGGTGTACATTAGACTGCATCACTCTCCATATAAAAAAAAAAATCAAAAATCAAATTTTCAAAGACTGGTTTAAGAAAAACTTGAATAACTCAGCCTAAACTGTACCGATTCAGACTTATGAGGTATCTTTGGAAAGGAATTTTCTTACCCTTTTTATTTCTTTGCAAATAAGCTCATTCAAAGCCTGAAAGATAAAGGTAAGACAAAGGAGCCTTTTTCCATGTTGAATTAGAATGTGTTGATATTTGATAAAAAAAAATTGGGACGTGAATGAGTTTTTTTGCGAAGAAATGAAAAGGGTGAGAAAATACTTTTCCACTGATACCCCACAAGTCTATGTCGGTATAGTTTTGGCCCAGTTATTCAAGTTTTTCTTAAACAAATCTTTGAAAAAATTAAAAAACAAAGCATCAAAAATCGCATTATTATGATTCCATTGAACAAATTTTTTGGAATAATTTTATGTAGATTTTTAAAGCTTAAACAGTTTTGTCATCTGAGGGGATTTTTTCCAAAAAATCCTGTAAGAAACTATTTTTATTCATAAAATACTCAATTTTTGGAGGTATTTTCCAATCGGGCCAGCTCACGTAAATCTTAATATTTTTTCGAAATATTTCGGTGGAAGTCTTAGAATATAATAAATTTTGAAATCCCGGCGGAAAAGCCGCAACTTTTTTTGGTGTTGCAGTCTAATGTAATGTATATATCCCATTGAAATGAAAAAATTATTTTGATTTCCAACACAAAAAATCATGATACAAATATTTAAAGGTAAAACCGCTCGCTCAATTCGTCGGCCATCATTTAATTTTTCAAGTTTGTCTACTTTATAAAATTGACATTTTCAGAGCGACTCAAATGCCAAATAAAAGTGAAACAAAAAACAAATAGATGAAAATATTCCAATTTTCTTTTATTTCCCCGTAGCGAATGTCATGTATTAGTCACTTAAGAGTCTTGTACGGAAAAGTTACGTCTTAAATGACTTTGGGCTCCGTTTGTATGGAAGTCGATCATGACTTTTTCATATAAATGGTAATTTCGTCGTTGATTTCATANCCGTAGCGAATGTCATGTATTAGTCACTTAAGAGTCTTGTACGGAAAAGTGACGTCTTAAATGACTTTGGGCTCCGTTTGTATGGAAGTCGATCATGACTTTTTCATATAAATGGTAATTTCGTCGTTGATTTCATATGCATGACATGGTCATGCAGTGATCATTAATGTCATTCAAGCGACAGTATCTTGTAATGGACTTTTTATAAGTGACCGCTGCAAGACATTGTCTGCTATAAGTCTTTGATAGGAGTACACCTGCATGACGTTGTCACCAGAGTCATTGTCAGCTATATATCGTTTAGGATTCACAGCAAGTGCGACGATGTCACTAAATTCTCATTAGTGCGATGTCACCGGTGACTATTTTCGCTACAGGGTTGAGGCGGAAGTGAGAATGAAAATTTGTGAGATTGAAAATTTGAAAACATTTTTGTTATGTTAGCAAACTTCAAAAATGTTCAGGCTGCCTCTCAGCGGTTTTACCTTAAAATTTTTGTATCATTCAAAAAAGTAAACAAAAGACGATTTCAAAATGGCAAGCGCCTTTTACCTCAACCAGCCACCGACGTAAAACCGTACGGATGACGGCTGGCACGACTTATCTTATGGGATTCTCGTGTTAACGAAAACTCACCACCGCATGGCGGTGAAGTTGCCGTTGCTTCTCTCTCTCTCTATCAACAGCATTTTCATATGTTGATACGAACGGCAGGTACGGAATGGGGCTCCGTCGGTGGTTGGAAACTTGGAGACTAAAGAGATAGAATGTTTTTATAACCAAGTGTTACGCAACGAAATAAAATTTATAAAAGTAAAAATGGCAAATGGTGAATGGCCCCCTCTACGACAACGTAGTGCACTTCATCCTGATGAGAAAAAAATAGTGACGACGAGGATTTCGTATCTGAATAGATTGTGGACAATAATGAAGACGGTAAGAGGTAACTCAAGTTGACTCCGATATAGAAAAAATCGAGTTAACAGAATACGACCCGGAAGATCATGAAACCGGGGAAACTATATTGCCAAAGAAGGAAAAATTTGAGCTGATCCACCACTAAAAACTGTCAGATGCCCAACCCACAACATACTCAGGTCTGCAAATATGGACCAGTACGTGCCGAACAAAAATAAATCAGTTGTGGTCTTTTCAATAATGCATTAGACAACCGAAGTAAAAGGTCTTAAGAAGAAGCCACTATTGATATTCGATTACTGTTTTAATTGTGAACGAGACGTAATGTGGTGAATGTTTCCAATGTCACCTAATTAAGTATGTTTCACAGTACGATGTAAAAACTGCAGCTAACTTTATGTTTGTTAAATAAAGTCTCTCTCTCTGTTATTTTGG